GCCCAGCCTGGCAGGTTCTTTCATCTCGGACAGATGTTCCTCCTCCTCCTCCTCCTCCTCCTCCATCTCCTCCTCCTCCTCCTCCTCCCCCTCCTCCTCCTCCTCCTCCTGTTCCTCCTCCTCCTCCTCCCCCTCCTCCTTCTCCTCCTCCTCCTCCTCCTCCTCCTCCTCCTCGATTGCCTCAGGGGCCCAGCAGCCTCACGGGTCGAAGCGGGCGGCAGCCGAAGGTGTCGGGGCGAGCGAGCGGGAGCCCGGCCACACGCCGAGGAAGCGTGTGGCCGGCGAGGGGAAGCGGCCTCGGGGGGGCACGCCTCAAGGGACGGCCTCGCCCGAGCCACGCGGGGGGCTGGACCACGGCTCGAGCAGGAGGAGGAGGAGGAGGAGGAGGAGGAGGAGGAGGAGGAGGAGGAGGGAACTGCGTGATCGATTTTTGTTTGTTCGTTGTCTTGCCGATCGGCGCGGGCCCTCGCACCCCCCCCCCTCCCCCCCCCAGATGGAGTGGACCTTGGCTGCTTTTTGGGCGCCTGCTCCGAGCGGGGGGAGCCTCTGCCAGAGGCCGCACTCTTGCAAGCAGTCGCACCAAGCAGAGGTCCAGAGCCAGACCCCCCCCCCTCCCCCCCCTTTCCGCCAGACGAGGGAGATGATATGAAAACTATACATGTATACACAGGTTCACATATATATATATATATATATATATGTGTGTATATATATATAGCAACAATTGATACATGCAGCGACATGTAAAGATAAACATGACTACACAGAGAGAGAACACCAAAACAAGTAGCGAGCGTGAGAAAGAGGGAGAGAGACAGTGATATCGGAGTTTGTATTTCGATAGTTCGACGCGTACACACTGTATACACGTATGTGGACACGGATGCACTTATGTTATGTTATGTATGTATGTATGTATGTATGTATGTATGTATGCATGCATGTATGTATGTATGTATGTATGTATGTATGTATGTATGTACGTAGGTATGCATGTATGTATGTATGTATGTATGTATGTATGTATGTATATATATACATATATATATGTATATAGATACTTATGTATGCATATGTGTATCTATGCATGCATGCATGTATGTATGAATGAATGAGTGTATGTATGTGTATGTATGCAATGCATGTACGTGTGTATGTATGCATGCATGCATGCATGTATGCATGCATGCATGTATGCAGGTATGCATGTATGCATGTATGCATGTATGCATATATGTATGTATGTGCACATGCCTGTCTGCCTGTCTGTCTGTCTGTCTGTCTGTCTGTCTGTCTGTCTGTCTGTGTATGCGTGCATGCATGCATGTATGTATTGATGGACGTACATCCACAAATATACATGCAAGACTGCATTGGTGCTTCCCGCCATGCATATTGGTCCTTGAGGTTTGGCATACAGGCAGGAGGGCAATCAGGTGAAACGGAACATTTAACGATAACTCGATGTTGATTTGTCATGCCTTTTGTTTTCATAGCCGTTATCTTGCCCTCATGGTTTCTCGTCCTGGTAGGGTTATTAGGAATGCCGGGACGGTCGGTCCCCGCTCACGTCGGGAACCCCCTGAGATCTTTTTGGCATCGCTCGGACGTGTGCATGTTTCCTCCGGCGAGGACCATCGAGGAGCATCCTTGACCATCTGGCGAACAAGCCACGCACGAAACCAACAAAAAACACAGGGAATGGACGTCCGAGCGATGGCCAGTCCTGGCGCTGCAGTGTTCTGTTCACCGCGGGCCCTCTCGTACCCTGCGGATTCGTCCCCATCCTAAGCTCTTTGTGGCGGAGGCTCATCCTAGGATAGCCTTGGGGCCTCACGAAAGTTTTTCAGGGCTTGTTGGGGCCTCCTGGAGGCCTCCTGGGTTCCTGCTGGGGGCCTCTGGGGGCTTCCCCAGGCCACCCCGCTTCCAACCGCGGTCTCCCGAAACGACCGCGTCACGACTTCGAATGATTCTGGGGGCGTCTTGGGGCCGTCTTAAGCCTTCATGGGGCTTTTTTCTGGCCATCTTGGGGCTTTGTTGGGCCGTCTTGGGGCTCTTCGTGGACTGCCTGGAAGCCCTCTTGGCTAAGGCGATTCTCTGGCCTCCCAGGCGGTCTCGGACCCCAGAAGACCGAAGAACAGAGCATTCCCAAGCACATGAAAAAACAGTAGGAAATCACTTGGCTTTTGCGGTTCGTCTTTGGGGGTCTTCTTTGGGTCGTCTTCGGGCGTTTGGTGGGTGTCTGGGGCCTCTGTGGGCCCTCGCGGGGCCGTTCGGCTGCTCTCCTGAACGATTTAGGCCCGTTGCCTGGTCCCAGCAGGGGCTTCAGGAGCCCCAGGCAGCACAAGCGACCGTCTGCAAGGGCGTCCAGGGTGCCCCCGGGGCTAAGGATCTGAGGGGGTCTCGCGTAGGGGGGGGGGTCGCAGGGTCCCAGATTCTCAGAATATCGAAAGGGAAGCAGCGTATGTATATCGTTGCAGAGAAGGCTGGAGGTCGAGAGAGGGAGAGAGTGAGAGAGAGAGAGATAGATGGGGTGAGGTATATGTGTACCGTGTTAGTTTCAGCAATTGTTTCTTAGGAGCGAGTCGCCGTCACCATCTAAGCATACGTGTACGCAGGTACTCTTGTATGCAAAATACATGAGCATGCATAAACATACAGCTATACACATACATCTATATCCGAGTACATATTCCGTCGTATCGCTAGATGCTGGGATACACCAATCAAACGCAAGTGTGTTTTTCATAAATGTGTGAATATATGTGTGAGCATGCAAACACGTACCGATACACACATACATAGCCAGTCACACCGATACATATCTACACCGACACACCTATTTACACATCTATTTATACACCCGTGCAAACGCACATATGGTTATACGCGCACATATAGATATATGTATTCATGTAAGTGAAATCCGAGAAAGGTACACGTATGGGGAGACGTTAACATACATGTACAATCCGAATGATATATATATATATACAACGCTTACGGCGCAGAGCTGGAGGAAGGGAGGGACTGAAAGACATGAGCGAGGGAGAGAAAGAGAGAGAGAGAGAGAGAGAGAGTCAGAGCGAGAGAGGGAGCGCGGCACATATGATGTTTTCGTGTATATATACACATAGATGAATGTCACGTCCACGTGTGCAATCTTGACAGAGCGGGAGACAGCGAACAAGAGACCAACACAACAATCATATGGACAGGGGGAAAGATAATGCATATATATATATACAGAGAGAGAGAGAGAGAACGACAGAGAGAGAGAGAGAGAGTACACGACCTACCTTGTTTCTTCCTCCTAATCCTCTTCCCCCCTTTGTGCGCGCTCCCGCGTGCGCGGGTGGAGGATGATGGGGGAGGAGCACGAGGAGGAGGAGGGTAAACCCAATACGCATTAACAATTATACGCCTTCCCTCCGAGTTCGGTCCTCACAGGTCTCTAAGACATTGTACTCGCAGTATGGGAAGTCGTTCATTAGAAAACAACCGTCTGATTATCTCCAATCGCGCGACTTCACCGCCGCGGATCAACGTGAATCTTGCGTCCTTACTGTCCCAAATCGTGTCAAAACACGATTCCGGGGGTTTCAACACCGCGAGCCAACGTGATTGTTGCGTCCTGGCAGTCCTAAATTGTGCCAGGACACCATTCTCGGGACTCCAGCCAAACGAACCTTGACGCTGTCGCACATGTTTAAGATCAATGTGCTAGGCGCTGAGGCGAGAGCCACATCTTGAAAAGGGCCCGCCCTCTATTCTTCAAACTGTTGTGATATTATAAGGCGAATTATGCACGGTGCTAAGCCGATAACCACATTTTGAAAACCACATGCCCTCCATCCTTAAAGCGGCTGCAAACTGTTAAGACGAATGTGCGCGGCGCAAAGTCGAGAGCTGCATTTTGAAACCTGTCCCCCATCCATACGTGAAATTGCTGCACTTTCCAAGCTTCAGGGCAATAAGTTTCTGAGGCAGTCTCATGCGAAACAAGCCCTGTCTGCCCTACTGGAACGTCTGGGCGCGCGAACATGAGAATCATGCATAGGTGATGAGGAGGTGCAGGAGGAGGAGGAGGAGGAGGAGGAGGAGGAGGAGGAGGAGGAGGAGGAGGAGGAGGAGGAGGGGGAGGAGGAGGAGGAGGAGGAGGAGGATGAAGAGAAGGAGGAGAAGGAGGGAGATATGAGGATGAGGAGGAGGAGGTGGAGGAGGAAGAGGAAGGGGAGGTGAAGGGTGAGGCGGAGGGGGAGGGGAAGGGGGAGGCGGAGGGGGATCGGGAGGAGGAAGGGGAGGCGGAGGGGGGGGATGGGAAGGGGGATGGGGAGGGGGAGGAGGAGGAGGAGGAGGAGGAGGAGGAGGAGGAGGAGGAGGAGGAGGAGAGGCGGAGGAGGAGGAGGAGGAGGAGGAGGAGGAGGAGGAGGAGGAGGAGGAGGAGGAGGAGGGAGGAGGCGGAGGAGGAGCGGAGGAGGGAGCAGGAGGAGGAGGAGGAGGAGGAGGAGGAGGAGGAGGGGAGGAGGAGGACGAGGAGGAGGGGGAGGAGGAGGAAGAGGAGGGGGAGGAGGAGGGGGAGGAGGAGGCGGAGGCGGAGGCGGAGGCAGTGGGGGATGGGGAGGAGGAGGGGGAGGGGGAGGAGGAGGGGCGGGGGGAGGGGGGGGAGGGGAGGAGGAGGAGGAGGGGAGGAGGAGGAGGAGGAGGAGGAGGAGGAGGAGGAGGAGGAGGAGGAGGAGCAGACGAGGTGCAGGAGATGGAGGAGGAGGAGGAGGAGGAGGAGGAGGAGGAGGAGAAGGATGGGGAGGAAGGGAAGGAGGAGCAGAAGGAGGAGGAGGAGGAGGAGGAGGAGGAGGGGGAGAAGGAGGAGGAGGAGGAAGAGGAGGCGGAGGAGTAGCGAGGATGAGGAGGGGGAGGCGGAGGCGGAGGAGGGAGGAGGAAAGTGGGAGGGAGGAGGAGGGGGGGCCGCCCCCGTGCCGCCCGCGCGCCCCCCCGCCCAGGCCTGGCAGCAGCCGGGGAGGCCGCCAATGGCGCAGGAACGCGCCTCGTTTGGGGCGGCGCCTCGCTCCTCCTCCTCCTCCTCGGGCGCAGTGCATATTGAAAAAGAATGAGCCCCCACACCTGTCAAAGCTGAGACATCCGTAAGGGCTTCGCCCCATGCCGCCGGCTTCCTCTCTCGGATTATGGGAGATACAAAAGCTAAATCATGAGGTCTGGGTGCCGCCGTGAAGCAGTGTCGGGACCTGTTTGTTCATCAGCAAGGAACTGTAACAGTGGAAACTGGAAGCTGCAACTGGTACAGGAAACTGCGAACCTTAGGCCTACAGCCTGGTGGCCCCACAAGGGGGCCGGCGGACTATCATGCCGGTGTTGGTGAAATTTTACTTGGCATGCGTATACGAGCTGGAGCATCAACACTTCGATAATCTGAGCGATACCCAGCTTCCATTTTAGCCGAAGAGATAAACTTTGGACATGGTTTCCCTGTTAAGGAATTCGCTTGAAAATGACATCGAGTGGCGTATGACATGTTCAGGGCGTACGATACAGTCAACCAGCCAGCTGTGCACGCAACGCTTGGTGCAGAGGGGATTCCAGAAGATCGCTGCGGCAGCGCAGTTCCTGGAAGTTTGGACGCTCAAGTTTCAAGTCGAGCCAGGAAGGCGTCCAGTGGGACGTCACTCGCACCAGATCTTTGTGCCAAGGGGGGCCAGACGCTCCAAAAGGCAGTCCATCTGGTTTTGATATAGATGTGATAGTTCCAGCGGTGTTCTTCGCAGACAATTTCTGGGCCCTCGGTACTTCATCGGAGATATTGCAACATATGGTTCGGATTTTCATGAATATGTTGTCCAAGTCTAGATGGGTGGTGCCCCTTGAGGAGTGCTCGTGGTGCACGAGGGCAGCGGACGATATCCCAATGACGCGAAGGGTGGACGACCAGGTCATCCGTGGAACTGGCAGGAGCGATGGTTTCAAGGCGCTTGGCACGATCATCGCATTCGACAACTCGTTCGTGAAGGAGTTCGCGAGCAAATTATCTGAAACATGGGGGTGTTTCTTCAAATGCAGAGACCTGCTTACGCACGAGTCTGTTTCCGTGAAGAGAAAATGCTCCACTTGAGCATGACGGTCAAGCTTTCCGTCTCGTGGGGGTCGGGCGTTTGGAATCTCAGCCTCCCTGAGGAGAGACCCATCTCCGGCTTGCAGAAGAAGATGATTCGCCGTATCCGCAGTGTCTCCAGGCAAAACCAGGAGTCAGTGGTCGATTACATGCACCGGTGCGCGGGCATCGTTTCGCGCACGTCGGGTCAGCATAGCGTGGAGTCGTGGGCACAAGCGGGGGGGAGAGAACATGATGATTGGGCCAGGAACCTCGTGCGTTATAGGCTCCAGGAACCGTAGCGCATCCTTTTGTGAGCTTTGACGTGGATCAAGCATACGGCCACTTCATGAATTTGCTCGTCTCCATCGCGGCTTGCAGGGGCATCCTCATCGCTTCTGGCGTTGGCGGTGAGAATCAGAACATACGCTCGATCTTGTAAGCGGAGCTTCCAATGGACCGATCTCGGTTCTGATGCAGTTGATTGGGCGCAGCATCGTGAACATGTGTTCTTTGACGAAGATCTACACATGCAGACCAGTTCTTGGGGCGTATCCGTTGACTTCACCACTGATTGCGAGAACATGTGGACGGTCCTTCCCACGTGGTTCTTCGAAACCGATCCAGCCAACCATCCTCGTCCTGCCTGCCTGACTGGCCTCCCTCCCTCCCTCCCTCCTCCGTCTCCTCCCCCTTCGCCTGCGCGTCCTCTCTCGCCCCTTTTCCTCCTCATCCTTTCAATTCTCTCCGTTTCCTGCCTCCCCCTCTTCGTCTTTTCCTCGTCCTCCTCGTTCCTACCTGCTCCAGCCTCGTCGCCCTCCTCCTCCTCCTCCTCCTCCTCCTCCTCCTCCTCCTCCATTCCTCTTCCTCATGCCCCTCATGCCCATCCTTCATTTCTACTCCTAAAAGACCTTTCCCCTGTCGCATTTCGAGGCTGGTCGACAGGGCGGGCCGACCGTTTTACCAGAGATTTCCTCACCACTCATGACCCTGATGCTAAACGATTGGGGCGGGTGGTTTTCGACATGTGGCTCTCGCCTAAGCGCCGCGCGCCTTCGATTCAACAATTTGTCAGGACTTCACGGACTGAAGGCGGGTGGTTCTCAAAATGTGGCTCTCGCCGTAGCGCCGCGCACATTGTTTCAAAACGTTCGCAACAGTTTTGCGGATTGAGGGCGGATCGGTTTCAAAATGTGGCGCCCGCCCCAGCGCCACGCACATGTTTCAACATGTTGCAGGAGCTTCACGGATTCAGGGCTGTTCGTTTTCAACATGTGGCTTTCGCTGTGGCGCCGCGCGCATTCCTTCAGCACAAATCGACGAGCCGAAATCCTTCACATCAGTAATTTTGGGTCTCGGAGCCCACAGGGCGGTTTTTCATGTTTTCCATTCGACGTTCCATGAAGCCCGATGTCATTCCGAGGCCGCGCGTCGAACGTTTTCGATGGCGCGTCGCGTTATGCGATGTCACGTGCGTTGGGGTCGTCAAAGGCTTGCGTGCTTGTTGCGGATCGGTTGATGTGGGCTGGGGTTTCTCAGGATTGTACATTTGCTTTGCGCTGGGGCGGTTTCGACCCCCATCCCTGGCTGATCCACCCCGCGGGTAACGTCGCAGGAAGAGTTCGATCATTTCGTTCGTAGTGCCAGCGATGCTGTCGCGGACATTGACCGCGCCACGGGGGGGGGTCGTCCAGAAATTTCCTACCATATTGCAGTGTTGGTTCTTCGTTTTGAAGAGACACCGCCCCGCGTCATTCCTTCCGGCCCCCTCCCTCGTCCTCCCTCTTCGCGTATCTGCCCCTGCTCTCCGCGTGTCCCCGTCGTCATCGTCCATCGTCATCGTCGCCATCACCATCATCATCAGCATCATCAGCATTCTCGTCGTCTCCATCATCAATACCACCACCATCCTCATCAACATCATCAAAACACCCCCCTTGTTCCCCCGCGTCTCTGCTTCGCCACATCCCCCGCAAGTCTCGTGGCCTTGTGAGGTGCTCCACCGAAGGCCCCATCGGCAGGGTCCTTAGTGCGCCGCCCAGCCCATGTCGGCACGCCCCTCAGACGCTTCGTGTCCCCATGAGGAGCTCATCGGAGGTCCCGGCGGCAAGGTCCACATGCCGTCGCCCAGGCCACATTGATGACACCCTCAAACATTTCGTGCCCCTATAGGCAGCTCCACCAACAAAAAGGTCCCAGCGGCAGGTTTCCCAGGCCGCCGCCCAGCATATTTCGGCATACGTTTCACACGCTTCGTGGCCCCACGGGGAGCTACACCGACGGCCCCACAGGCCGCCGCCCAGCCCATTCCGTCATACGCTCAGAAGCTTCGTGGCCCCATTTGGGAGCACCCCCGATGGCCCAAGCGACAGGGTCCACATGCCGTCGCCCAGCCCATGTCGTCCACGAGTGGCGCCCAGCACGGTTCCAAGAGCGCCCCAAGAGGCGCCGAGTAAGTTGCACCCTCATGCAAATAGTTGTTGTCACTTGTGGGGGTCCTCTTGGGGCCCTCTTGGAGCATTCTTGGGGCCCTCTGGGAGCGTTCTTGGGGCCTTCCCGGGGCCCCAGTGGGCCCTCGGAGGGCCCCAAGAACGTTCCCCGAGGGCCCCAAGAGGGACCCCCCAAAGTGGTACAAAGAATTCGCGCGAACGTGCAATCTGTTGTAGGCCTTTCGGGGCCCTCTGGGAGCTCTCTTGGGGCCCCCATTGGTGGCGCCTTGGGGCCTTGGGATGGCTCCAAGAGGCTTCGGGATTGCCCCAGACCGCCACAAGACAGCTCCGAGACGGCCGTCGAGCACCACGGGTGAAAGCAAGTGAGGCTAGGGAACAGGGCCTCTGGTAAGCCGCCACTGCGCCCCCTGGACTACCCAGACAGCGAGGGGACCTGAAACGCCCTGGGGCTCCAGGGGCCCCAGATTAGTGAAGTGAAGGTTTTTGCCATGCAAGCACCCCGAAATTCTTCACTTCACTAAACCGGACCCAGGACGAACTCGCTACGCTCCAGTCCCGCGGGAGATCCAAGACTCCCGCCGCCGCCCGGGGACGTTGCTGCATTGCGGTGCTCTGGTCACTGTTAATGGCTTCCGCGGGCTGCAGCGGCTCACTTCCATGACTACCCCGACTCACGAATCCAGTGGTTGGTCTGGCTCTATGGGTTGGTTTCGTTGTGTCGGTTGATTTTGTGCTTGGTTGGCGGTCAGTGGATTTCGCGTTGTTCATTGGTGTCGTGAAGTGATTTGTCGTTTGGTTGGTCAGTGCCGTTTTGTTGATTCGTGCCGTTTTGTTGGTTGGTGTCGTTTCGTTGGTTGGTGTCGTTTTGTTGCTTGGTGTCGTTTTGTTGCTTGGTGTCCTTTTGTTGGCCGGTGTCGATTTGTTGGTTTGTTGGTTGGTGTCGGTTTGTTGGTTGGTGTCGTTTTGTTGCTTGGCGTCGTCCTGGCGGCGTGGCCGATAATCGGCGGCCTGCAATGGCGCCAGGATTTGTTTCGGGCCAGCCTTGATCGCCCTCATCATTCTCATATTCGTCAGCGTCAGCACTCGTCGCCCCCATCCGCGCACACATGCGGCCCTGGTACGGCTCTCACGCGGCCCTGCGAAGGCCTTCACTGTGCTCCCCAAAGCTTTCTGAGGGGCCCCCCAGAGGCCCCAAGAGGGCACTGGAAATTGTCGCTTCCAACTCCGCCAGGCGGAGGTCAACAAGGGTCTCACTGGTGCACTTCCAGGAATCGTCGTTCGATCCTCTTGGGGCCCTCCTGGGGCCTTCTGGAGCCGTCTTGGAAGCTCCGAGCGGCTCCATGAAGGCGCCGGGCGATATCGCTTCCAATTCCGCCAGGTGGAGTTAGACCAGGGGCTCACTGAGGCCCCTTTTTGCGCCCTCCTCTGCCTTTGAAAAAGCCCCGATGGGGTTCTTCAGTGCCGTCTTAGGGCCCCTAAGAGGCCTCCAGTAGGGTATTGAAGTTATCGCTTCCAACTCCGCCACGCGGAGTTGAACCCAGGGCGGCTCTCTATGGCCCTTTCGGGGCCTTCTTAGAGCTTTTCTGAGGCCCTAAGTGGGCCCTGGGAGGTGTCATTTTCACGGGCGTTGAAAGTGACACCGCGGAGGGCCCTCTTGGGCCCTTCTTGGGGCCTCTCTTGGGTCCCTCTGGGAGCCCTCTTGGTGCCGCCCTGGGGCCTTCTCGGGGCCTTCTTGGAGCCTTTCTGGTGCTCTTTAAGTGGGCCCTGGGAGGTGTCACTTTCACGGGCGCTGAAAGTGACACATCGAAGGGCCCGCTTTCCCTCGTAGCGCTGCCCGTGGCCGGGACATTGTGCAGCGCATCCCTCGTCGAACGTATTTTGTCGGACGCGTGGTCGAATTCCGCCAGTTCGGTCGAGATGGTGGTCAAGCGGTTCGGTTGCAATGTAGCCATGCGGATCTGAGCTTACCATTTCTTGCCATTTTGGCGGGGATCGCAGGAGCGTTTGTGTTGTGATCAACTGTGCTCGATATGTCCAGCGGCAGCGTTTCATCCCAATATATTATTTGGAAAAAAGTCAGCAGGGGCCAAATTGCTGATGTGAAGCAACATAGGTCTCGTAACAAAGTACAATAATGTCATGGATCGAGGGCGGGTGGTTGTCACATTGTGACTCTCATGTCAACGCCGCGCACATACGATTAAAACATTGCATCGTTTCATGGATTGAGGTCGGCTCGCTTTCAAAAAGTGGTCCTTTTTCAAGCGCCGCGCACATCCGTTGAACAGCATTGCAAGAGTTTCGCGCAAGAGGGCGGGCTGTTTTCAAAATGTGGCTCTCGCCTGAGCGTTGCGCACATTCGTTTTAGATGTGCGCACGAGTTTCATTAATTTTCAGGATTAACGTACCATGAATTGTGGCTTGGGCCGATTTAGGATTGTCAGGGCGCAACAGTTAATGATTCGCGGTGTTGAAATCCCAGGGGTGGTGTTCTGGTATGATACAGGATCGCCAAGACGTAACAGTCTGGTTAACTCGTGGCGTTGAAGTCTTGAGAATAGTGTTTTGGCACACTTCAAGATGTTCACGCGGTTGCCCCCAAATGGGTCAACTCCCTCAGTGGCAACGGCCTCTTTGTATGGGGCTTGTGAAGAGGGATCCTGGAGGGAGGGTGTATTTCAACCTCGTTGACGAGTCTGGGGTTTGCACTGGTCCTCCTCCTCCTCCTCCTCCTCCTTCTCCTCCGCTTCCGCCGCCGCCTCCTCCTCCTCCTCCTCCTCTGCCTCCCTCCTTCCTCCTCCCTCCTCTTCTTCGTCCTCCTCCTCCTCCTCCTCCTCCTCCTACTCCTCCCCTTCCTCCTCCCCCTCCCCCCCACTTGGTCGGCCTCCTTCCCACCTGCTCCCCCCCCTTCCTGGCCAGGCGGAGCCTGGCCCGGGGCCCCCCCTCGTTCTTGAGCTCGGACCTCCAACGTTGCGAAGAGGACGGCAGAAAGACCAACGTTTTGGACTCAGATCCCCAACGTTTTTGAACTGAGATCTCCAACGTTTTGGAGCTCCAACGTCCAAGGTTTGAGGTCAGATCTCCAACGTTTTGAGCCAGCATCTCCAATAAATGTTTCGAACTCAGATCTCCAACGTTTTTGAGTTCCGATTTCCAACGTTCTTGAGCTCAGGTCTCCAACGTTGTGAAGAAGACGACCGGAACTCCAACTTTCTGAACTCCGATTTGCAACGGTTTGGACTCAGATCTCCAGCGTTGTGAAGACGACGACAGGAACTCCAACGTTCTGATCTCAGATCTCCAGCGTTCTGAGCTTAGATCTTCAACGTTTTTGAGCTCCGATTTTTCCAACACGTTTTTGAACGGCGCAGTTCTGTCCGCAGTTCTCGGCTCCTGGGGGGCCCTTGTAGGGCCCCGAGGCCGTCAAAGAACGATCCAGAGTTCCAGGACCCCCCCAGGGCGCTCTCGGCGAGGCGGAGCTGCTGAAACGTCCCCCGAGTTTGGAGGAACGGCGATAACCGACGACAGCGTCCGAACACCCACTCGCTCCTCCCTCCTCCTCCACCTCTTCCTTTTGCTCCTCTTCCTCCTCCTTCTCCCTCCTTCCTTCTCCTCCTCCTCCACCATCTTTTCCTCCTCCTCCTCCTCCTCCATCCCTCCCTTCTCCCTCGTCCCTCCTCCCTCCTCCCTCCTCCCTCCTCCTCCCGCCTCCTCCTCCTCCTCCACCTCCTACTCCTTCTCCTCTTCCTTTTCCTCCCTCCTCTGGTCCCCCTCCCTTCCTCCTTCTCCTCCTACTACTCCTCTTCCTTCCCCTCCTTCTCATCAGCATCATCATCATTATCATCCTCATGATGATGATCATCATCATCATCATCCTCATCAGTTTCATCATCATCATCATCATCATCATCATCATCAGTTTCATCATCATCATCATCATCATCATCATCATCATCATCATAATCATCATCATCATCATCATTTTCATCATCATCATCGCCATCGTCATCATAATCATCATCATCATCAGCATCATCATCAAATCATCATCATCATCATCATCATCAGCAACATTATCATCATCATCAGCCCCTATCACTATCACCATCACCATCACCATCACTACCATCATCATCAACACCATCACCATCATCGTCACCATCACCATCACCATCACCATCACCATCACCATCACCATCACCATCACCATCACCATCACCATCACCATCACCATCACCATCACCATCACCATCACCATCACTATCGCCATCACCGTCGCCATCACCATCACCATCGCTACCGCCATCGCCATCGCCATCGCCATCGCAATCGCACCATCACCATCGCCATCACCATCGTCGTCGTCACCATCACCATCGCCATCGCCATCACCATCGCCATCACCATCGCCGTCGTCGTCGTCATGTCCCTCGGCGAGGAGCTGCAGCGGCTGCACGGTGGGATGCCGCCGCCGCAGTGGCCGCCCGG